CTGCCGGTCGTGTGGGTTCAAAGCCTAGCGACTGCATACTCTTTTTTCTGAAAGGAAGTACTAAGAATCGCACTTTAAAACGCAAGACCTCATTAATCCTTGACTCTCACAAGTTCCGACTTCTGAGGGCTGCCCGTTCATAAGAGGACGACAGCTGGTAAACGGAAAAGTATTTTTAAATCTTTTAATTTATGATAGTAAATGATTGAAACGATAACAAAAAAAATATTAGAAATATATAACAACTGCTCAAAGTGACCACCAGCTACTTCTAAACAATAATCTATTTGGTTTTTAAATTCTTCATTAACTCGCCTCAACATGCTGACTGGAATATTTTGGAATGTCTTTAATTCTATTTTTCATATCCTCCTTTGTAGATGGTCTTCTTTAAACTTGATCTTTAACGTATCGCCACATAAAAAAAACATTTTTGCCATATCTGGTGAATGGGGTGGTCATTCGAAAGGCCCTCCTCTACCAATCCAACTTCTGCAGTGTTTAAATAATTATTAATAGGAACAGTGTAGTGAACAGGTGCTCAGTCATGTAAATACCACATTCTTAGTTTAATTCGAAAAATTACTTAATTGTGGTAACCGACAAAAAATCGAGGTAAATCAAGCCGTTAACTCTTCCCTCAAAGAAATATGGCCCAATGATGAAATTTCCAATTATGCCGCATTTAGGGACCACTTTGTCTGACTAGTGGTTCGAGAGAAATGGGGGTTATCTGTTGAATAATAATGAAAATTATGTCTATTTAAAAAACCCATTTTTATGAAATGTTGCTTCATTGAAAAAAATAAAACATAATTAAAAAAATCTCTAGTCTAGTAGCAACTGTTGCTGAGCCCATTCACAAAATGTTACTCTTTTCTCAAAATCATCAACTGATAACTCTTGATGTAACCTAACACGGTACAGATGAAACTTATTCTTTTTCAAAATTCTTTGTATGCAATTTTGGTTCTTTTTATTTTTTCATATGTGACATTTCCTATTCGAGTAAATCGAAGAAGCAAATTTTCAAATGCTTCATTTCTGGGTTGTCACCTGTCTAGATATCGTATATTATAAATTCTGGTGACTAATAAACAGTTTTTATCAATTGCCCCCAGTACAAAAGGCATATCAGTCAATTCTTCGGTGGAGAAATTCATTTCAAATGCTATTTTATTATAAAACTTATCGATCATTGAATGTCAAATTATAGCCCACTTTGATAGCAGTTTCATTGTGCATGGCACACACGAGAACCAACACTTGCCTTACTGAAATGTGCATGACGCATTTATTTGCGCACCATGAACCAGTTTACAAGCAACAATATTCAAAAACACTTTGTTGTGAGATTTTCACTAAACAATTTTACAAAAACGCAACACGCGTTTCGCCGATGGCTTCTTCGGGCGTGTTTTTACTAACTCCGCTCCACTACACTTTACTAACTCGCGATAGTCCGACACTACGAGTCCTAGGGGATGTCGGATTACCAAAAATGTGGGAGTACCAAAGATTGGCTCTATTTAATTGAATTTGCATTGAATAAGTTTGAAAATTCAGTTAACGATGAATGTTTATGTAATATTTGTAATATTTGACTAGAAAAGATTCAAAATATGTAATGAAGTCAGGCTTTAGTTTTTGCAGAAGAAGAGAAATTTATTTGATATTAAAATCATAATACAACATGAATCGGTTTTACAGGTTAATTTTAGACCGACTAGACTAGACCGATGACTCATAAGGCACAGCGTCGAACTACCGAGCGTGTCGGACTATCGCGAGTCAACTGTATATTCTACATATTCAATGCTTGATATATCTGATTTAACAATTTGAAACACTTATATTTCAATTACCTGATTTTTACCTAACATTGTAATGAACTAAATTACTGGAGCTAATGTCCCAGTTTCCACATTTGAAAAAATATTTAGCAACGGGGAGTTATTCAATTCTAATTGATCATTCAGTAAATTACCCGAATTCCTAAATCTATTGATTTATAAACATTCTAGAAGATTGAGTTTCAAACTCTTCTCTTCTAAATGCAACACAGCGTATTCATGATCGAACTCATGTCCTGCTAAAAAATGGTTGGCAAATGTGGAATTGGTCTTTCTATTTAAAAAACTACTTTTATGATCTTTAATTCTTTGGGAAAGTTTTGTCTTTAATTGTTTTTAATGAATTTAATTAGACTATTATTCATTCTGTAAGCTACGTTTACGCAATTTTTCTTCAAGAAACGGGCAATAATATTGGTTGCTTCACCCAAATATGACAATGTTGGATGAACCAACCAATAATATTATTGTCCGTTTTTTGAAGAAAGAATGCGTAAACGTAGCGCAAGGAACGAATAATAGTCTAAGTAAATTTATTGAAAACAATAAAAACGAAACTTCGGGGTCGGAATATATAAGCTGACTTGTGGATCTTGCCCAAAACTGTATATTGGTCGAACAGGGAGAACATTTTCTCAAAGAATTAA